AGTAGAGACGGGGTTTCACCATGTTGACCAGGATGGTCTCGATCTCTTGACCTCGTGATCCACCCGCCTCGGCCTCCCAAAGTGCTGGGATTACAGGCGTGAGCCACCGCGCCCGGCCTCTATTTGGTTCTTTATAGATTTCACTTCTCTGCAGATTCCTCATCTTCATTTATTAAGACCATATTCTTTTATTTTTTGAACATATTTACTGTATAGGGGCTCCTTTCAAGTCTTCATGTATTAAAGCCAACATTTGGGCTCTATGAAGGTCAAATTCTATGGGCTGTGGGACACGTTATCCTGTTTCTCTCCCTGTTTGGTTATTTATATATTTTGAGACAGGATCTCATGGTCACCCAGGCTGGAGTGCAATGGTGTGATTTTGGCTCACTGCAACCTCAACCTCCTGGGCTCGGGTGATCCTCCCACCTCAGCCTCCTGAGTAGCTGGGACTATGGGACTACTTAATTACAGGCATGTACTACCATGCTTGGCTAACTTTTGTATATTTTGTAGAGATGAGGTTTCACCATGTTGCCCAGGCTGGTCTCAAACTCCTGGACTCAAGTGATCCTCCTTCCTCAGCCTCCCAAAGTACTGGGATTACAGGTGTGAACCACTGCGCCCAACAATCTAGTAATTTTTTTTCTGTACAGTGGATATTATCTGTGTGATACTGTGGGGACTCTAGATCCTATTATCTCCCTCTGAAGAACATTGACATTTTATCGTCATCAGCAGTTCAGTTACCAGCTGATACTGAACTTGTGTAGGCTTGGTTTTATGCTTTGGTGGGGAGAATCTGTGGATAGCCCAAGGTGTTTCCTTGGTCTCTAACTTGGTAGAATTCAACCTCCAGATTCTGCCTATGGATCTCATCAGAGGTTGATTTTAGGCTTTGTTGGGGCTGGTCTAGAATAGGCCTTACTCTAGGACATGGTCTAGCTGTATGTGTGAGGTCTTGAGGTCTGGGATGTTGTCAAGATGTTAAGTAGGTCTTTGCACTTTGGTTAGGCTTGAAATCCTGCATCAGCATCCTCTAACATTGCTAGATGTATGGTATCTTCATTCATCTTGCAGTCTTTTTTTTTTTTTTTTTTTTTTTTTTTTTTTTTTTTTTTTTTTTTTTTTTTTGAGGCGGTCTCCCTCTGTCACCTAGGCTGGAGTGCAGTGATGTGGTCACAGCTCACTGCAGTCTCAACTTCCTGAGCTTAGGTGATCCTTTCACCTCAGCCTCTGGAGTACCAGGGACTACAGGTGTGCACCACCATGCCCCACTAATTTTTGTATTTTTAGTAGAGATGGGGTTTTGCCATGTTGCCCAGGTGGGTCACAAACTCCCAACCTCAAGTGATCTGCCCACCTTGGCCTCCCAAAGTGCTAGGATTACAAGCGAGGCACCACTCCTGGCCCCATCTCTGTCTTAAAGCAGGCACACTGGTGAGCTTCAGGCAGTGGCACCCTGTGTATGTGCAGTCCAGCCCTCAGCTGGCCTCACTGGAGACTCTTCCCATTCCCCTGCTCTGTCGTTTGCTTTTCTCTGGTGCTGTGCCCTGCAGATTCCAGCCACTTTAGCTACCCTGAACTCTGAGGATTTTATTCCTCAGCTCAGCAGGCGCTGACCCCCACTTACACCCAGCTTGCTGAACCCCAGTTGGAAAATTGTACCTGGGCAGAGAGCCATGGTGGTCATGGGGCTCAGTGTGTGAATTTCCCTTCTCCTGGGAGTCATGCTCCAGTACTGCCCCTAATCAGGGTCCTGTGAGCCCCTCCCTGCTGGTGTGGAGATAAGAAACTGTGGAAATAAAAAACACAAGACACTGAGAAAGAGAAAGGAGAGTTTGGGCCCCAGAGGTCCACTGCCAACCAAAGTGCAGAGTCCAGCAGTGGCCGCGAGTTCCTGGACACTCTGACTTTTATTGAGTACAAAGCAGGGGGCAGGGTGGGTAGGATGAGATAATGGTGGTCAGTGATAGGCTCAAGTAAATCACATGCCTTGGAGGTAGGGGCCCAGGTCTTTCAAGTAGCTGAGATGAGGAGAAAACCTAACGCGTCAGCACTCTTCGCATATTTGTCAGAAATATCAAGGACATTAAGATATGTTACTATTATTAATTCTTATCTTCTAAGAAAAAGAGAAACCAGGCACAGAAGTGGAGTGTGAAAGTGGACATGGACATGACCACTGAAGCACAGCATCACATAGAGAGTTAAGCCCCCAGATGTCTGTGGGCTTTCCTGACAGCTGCCAGGCCTACCACAAGAGCTTGGAAGAGCAGGAGTTTTCTCCTGACTCCCCCGAGGAAGGAGGCGTCTCAGCCATTTTGGACATCTCCTTCCCTAGCCGGCTAAACAGCAGGCACTTAGCCAGCGCTGGTGCTGCTGCAGAGCCGAGATGCCCTCCAGCAGCCCTTATGTGGGCATGACAGAGGGCTTAGAGCATCTTGCCTTAGGAGCACTTTGTTCACAATGTCACCCCAGTTCCATGCTTCATAACCCGATAATCATTAGCAAAATAAAGGTTATATTATCTATCTTTATGATTATAAATAACTATAAGATTATATATGATTATATAAAGGAATAACTATGTGCTTATATTGCGAATTCTTTTCTAAATCAGTATTTACATAAGAACAGGCTGAGGCTTTAGACCCTTGCCACGGCACTTGCGGGGTTTCTCCCCCACAAATCCAACCCCTGAAAAAAGTTATCTCATATTTTGCCCAACTTTTTGGTTCACCTTGGTACCAGTTAGTCTCACAGATAGATGTGAAAGTCACATTTGTTATTTATTTTTTTCACATCATATGGGTAATGTGCTGACATTGTAACAAAGTTTGAGAGAGATATCTCACACGTGAACATGAAATCCCAATCATCAGACTTACAAACTACAAAAGGATCACATTTCCGATTTTTATTGTTTTTTTGTTTGTTTTGTTTTTTTAGTTAAAAAAAGTTTAAGAGACAAGGTCTTGCTGTACAGTGGTATAACCACAGCTCACAGCCTTGAACTCCTGAGCTCACGTGGTCTTCCTGAGTACCTGGGACTCTGGTGGGAGACACCATGCTTGGCTAATTCTTTTTTAGAGACAAGATCTTGCTGTGTTTCCCAGGCTGGTTGAACTCTGGGCTCAAGTGATCCTCCTGCTTTGGCTTCCTGAGGTGCCGGTATTACAGGTGTCACGCACTGAGCCCAGCCAACATTTCTCTTTTTTAATGTGAGGTTAATAAAACCTTTCTCACAGAGATAAGATTAAGAACAGTAGAGAAGGCCGGGCGCGGTGGCTCAAGCCTGTAATCCCAGCACTTTGGGAGGCCGAGGCGGGTGGATCACGAGGTCAACAGATCGAGACCATCCTGGTCAGCACGGTGAAACCCCGTCTCTACTAAAAATGCAAAAAATTAGCTGGGCATGGTGGCGCGTGCCTGTAATCCCAGCTACTCAGGAGGCTGAGGCAGGAGAATTGCTTGAACCCAGGAGGCGGAGGTTGCGGTGAGCCGAGATCGTGCCATTGCACTCCAGCCTGGGTAACAAGAGCGAAACTCCGTCCCAAAAAAAAAAAAAAAAAAAAAAGAACAGTAGAGAAAATGTTTCTGAGCCTCCATAAGGTCTTTTGAATTAATAAACATTAAAGACATACTAGTGGGATTGAACCAAATACCCTACTATCTGTAGTAATGGATAGTATTTTAGTTTTTTTTTTAATAGACATTTTTAAGGACTTGTTGCCTTGAGCCGAGCTAGAAAAAATATCTTGAGATATTTAGAAATCTAGCTGAAGAACTTTCTCTTCTGCCCAAGCTGCTAAGACAAGCTATTTACAAGTATATATATAAAGAGGTGAGAGGCAGAAGAGGATAAGCCTGCATTCTGCTTTTATTGGAAGAACTGATCTAAGGCAACATAGTTCTGGCAGGTTTGTTGGAGAGGCTGAAATCATGGGCAGTCTGTGAACCTGCAGGAACAAGCATGTGGGTCAGGGCTCTGAGTGTGGACATGCGGCTATCTGGATTAAATATCTGACCTTTTTGAGGTTCTGAGACTTTATTCTCCTTTTTAGTATGCTTGCAGTTAACAGGTTACCTCAAGTGATCCTTTTACCTCAGCCTTCTGAGTAGCTAAGACCACAGCACAGGCATATGCCACCATGCCCAGCTTTTGTTTTTAAAATTTCTTATAGAGATGGGGTCTTGCTATGTTGCCCAGGCTGTTCTTGAACTATTGGGCTCAAGCAATCCTCCTGCCTTGGCCTCCCAAAGTGGTGGAATTACAGGCCTGAGCTACAGTGCCCAGCCCTTCCTGTTTTTTTCTTTTTTTCTTTTTTTTTTTTGTTTGAGACAGAGTTTCACTCTTGTTACCCAGGTTGGAGTGCAATGGCGCAATCTGGGCTCACCGCAACCTCCGCCTCCTGGGTTCAAGCACCTCTCCTGCCTCAGCCTCCCGAGTAGCTGGGACTAAAGGCGTGCGCCACCATGCCCAGCTAGTTTTTGTATTTTTAGTAGAGACAGGGTTTCACCATGTTGACCAGGATGGTCTCGATCTCTTGACCTTGTGATCCACCCGCCTCGGCCTCCCAAAGTGCTGGGATTATAGGCATGAGCCACCGTGCCCAGCCCCTGTTTTTCTTTTAAAATCACTGCTAGGATCAACAATAGATTAGCCTAGATTATAATGTAATTAATATACATCGAATTAGCACATAATTTACATCTAATTAATATATTAGTTTGCTTAGGCTCTTCACTTTCTAGATCAAACAACTGAGACTTAGAAGCTAAATAACTTCGTAGAGGTTTCATACTTAGATCGTGTCAGAGCCAAGCTGGAACGGGTTCCAGGTTCAACATTTTCCAAAGCATTGGTATTTCTAATTTTAATAGTAAAAGTTAGCATTTCGTTCTCTTGAATTGGACTGCAGAAATACAATCAATTTAAAATTGTTATTACTAAAAATACAAGAACAAAAAATTTGCTTTTGGCTAAAATGTTTTATATTCCTTTGCAGTTACTATAATGTGTGAGTTTGAAATGAATGTTCGTACACGTAACTGAATGGTGTTTTCCTTTATTTTGGCACAATTAGAATGTCACGTCATCTCCTCAGTATTCTACATTCCTGGAACATATCATCCCTCGATTCCTTACATTTCTTCAAGATGGAGAAGTTCAGTTTCTTCAGGAGAAACCAGCGCAGGTAATGTCAAAAAATACCAGTGAGAAGACGAGGATGCTGTGGGCTCGTGAGCAGTTACGAATTAACTCAGAAAACTTCCAGTTCCACTTAAAAATGAGAGGTTTTGTCACATAAGGGTAACTTTGTTCGGGACTGCTGCCTCCTCAGTTACATGTCTTGGTTTGATTTTGTCTAGGCCTTCTCTTACAGTTTAAATTGTTCACATTTGCCAACTGATGATGTATGTGTGAACACTGTTTATTATAGTCCAGTGCAAATGTATACAAAAGAAGGAATTGTGGGGAACGCTGCCGTGTGAGGCACCCCGAAAATGGGCCTCACAATGCGGAGGGCTCGAGCCCAGACACAATGTCTCCAGTTGAGGCAGTCGAGCTATCAGAAAGCAGGAACAGAGAAAGACTTAGGTTAAAGTTAAACTTGTGGGCACTCGCCAGATGGCCATGCAGTCATGAGATGCATTGTGTACGATAATTGAGCTTTCTACTAAGACCTGTTTTACTTATGTGATAATTGAGTTTTCTACTAAGTCATGTTTTATGACGCTGATTTTCTCTAGAAGATAAATGACTTACCCTTAGATGAGATAGTGTGACCACCTGTTCTGGTTAATTAAATGACTTGCCCCTAGATGAGATAGTGTGACTGCCTGTTCCGGTTAATTGTGTATCTGACCTTTCCATTGTTCTTACCCTATGATGTTGATTTTTCTACTTTAAAACTTTCTGTACCCCTTTGTCTCACGTAGACACATACTTAAAAAAGATATATATACTGACCCTGAACACGAATAAAGTTGTTGGTAAAGCATATGCTTTTCAACCCTCCAGACCCCATCTATCTATCATTCCTTGTCTTCCGCGCACCCCCCTATCCAAGTTGGAACCCTCTTGCAGGTCGAGAGCTCCTGGCAGATGTGCTCCCGATAAGGAATGACCCCTCCCATACCTATTGCCCAACTCCAATCTTATTATCTTATTAATATCAATTCCTTTTTTTTTTTTTTTTTTTTTTTAAAGACAGGGTCTCACTCTGTCACCCAGGCTGGAGTGCAGTGGTGCCATCACAGCTCACTGCAGCCATGACATTCTGGGCTCAGGTGATCACCCAACCTCAGTTTCCCCAGTAGCTGGGACTACTGGTATGTACCACAATGCCTGGCTAATTTTTAAAAAATTTTTTGTAGAGAATGGGGGTCTTGCTTTGTTGCCCAGCCTGGTCTTGAACTCCTGAGCTTAATAGATCCTCCTTCCTCAGCCTCCCAAAATTCTGGTATTGCAGGTGTGAGCCACCATGCCCAGCCTAATGTCAATTATTATAGCTCATAGTTAATTTTATTTTATCCACATTCCCCCAACATACTGTTCACACCTACCTGCCTTGATCATTTAGAAATAGTCCCGTTATACCACTTTTTCTGTTAAGTATTTCAGCATGTAGCTCTTAATAACTTTAAAAAGAATTCCCATAATATCTGCTTACTAGTAAATCATTTTTATGTCACACCAGTGCAAGACCTTCCAAATTTGACCTTTTTTAGTTTTCAGCTCCACCGGCAGAATCACAGAAACTTAGTACAGCTTATGATATAAGTAGTCCTTGGGCCCAAGGTAGTTGGCAATAGCATTATGGGAGCTAACCCGAGATCGTAAGGGGAGATTCTCCCCTTAGAATGTTTTTCTCTTTTATCTTACAGTGTTTTTTTATCTTACAGTGTTTTTCTCTTTTATCTTAAATGGACTCCATGTTCATACACCACTGTCCTGTTGGAGTTACTGATAAGCCGTGGAAGAGGAGAAATTTGGCTTAGTTGATTTGATACACAGTCGTAGAAATATTGAAAATGATCACCTGCAGTACTTATTTTTGGTTACATTTCAGGAGTTCAGGGCTGTTTCAAAAATTGGGTCTATTTTGTAGTGTGGTGATTTGTTCCTAGTGCTGGGTGTAAATAGCTGTGTGACACTTGCAGAATGTACAATAGTTAATTTGGAACCCTTGGAAGTATTTTTATCCTTACATTTATTTATTTTTTCTTGGCAGCAACTGCGGAAGCTAGTACTTGAAATAATTCATAGAATACCAACCAACGAACATCTTCGTCCTCACACAAAAAATGTTTTGTCTGTTATGTTTCGCTTTTTAGAGGTAACCTTTGAGAATTAACTCTTGTCGTATAGCCATATGCAAAACTTTCACTGATTTTTCTTATGGTAAAATTCAGAATTATACAACTGTTTTATCTTTCACCCAAATTCTGAGTCACATGAGTAAAAATTTTTCTTAATGTCCTTTTTCCCCCATTTCCAACTGAGAAAGATTACTTAATTGAAAATCATTGTTTCGAGTTACTGAGGAATTGGCTAGATGTAGTAGTTACCTTTGAAAAATCTGTAGACAGCGAGTTGGGTGCCGGCCCACAGACTCCCAAGTGCATGGTTGACTTTTGTTGTTCTTTCTGTGTGTATCTCAAGTGAAGCATGTCACACCTAGTAGATGTTCATAGAGACTATCTCAGATTCTTGAGATGAATCCAACTGGTACCTTCAAAATTGTTTTTTTGCTTCTCTTAGTCTGTTTTGTTTTGTTTTGCTTTTTTGAGATGAAGTCTCACTCAGTCGCTCAGGCTGGAGTGCAGTGGTGCGATCTCGGCTCACTACAGCCTCCAGCTCCCAGGTTGAAGTGATTCTCCTGCCTCAGCCTCCTGAGTAGCTGGGATCACAGGTGTGCACCACCACACCCAACTAGTTTTTGTATTTTTAGTAGAGATGGGGTTTCTCCATGTTGGCCAGGCTGGTCTGTAATTCCTGACCTGTGGTGATCCACCCGCCTCAGCCTCCCAAAGTGCTGGGATTATAGGCATGAGCCACCATGCCCAACCCTCTTAGTCTTGATGCAGTTAGATTTTAGTTCTGTTTTCTGGGCCCCTTGGAAAGATGAACTTGGATTCAGTCCTGGCTGGAACACTTTGTAGTTGTGTCGTGTCTGCCACATTGCTTAACTCCTCTGAGATTTTGCACCCTCACAGGTCAAGTGTAGGTGGAACCCCATCCTCACAGAACATTTGTAAGCATCAGTACCTGGTGCTTGCCCAGTAATTCTTTCCTGGCCTTTTCACAATATTTTCTAACATCAGTACCTGGTGCTTGCCCAATAATTCTTTCCTGGCCTTTTCACAATATTTTCTAACAATAGAAAGTGTCATTTGGGCCATGAAGTTCTTAACCCCTGGTGCCATTTGCCACGAAGGCCAGCGCAGCCCCTGTTCAGGTTATTCCTGCAGAGCTGGCTGGTGGGATTCCCTGGAGGTGCACAGAAGCTTTCTGCCTGGGACAACTGTGTTCTCTGGGCTGATGAATTTTCAGCAAATCCAATAGAAGTTGGTTGATGGAGAGTGTGTGTGCAGAAAATGCTTAGAAAATTAGCCTTTAATCTTTAAAGTGAGTCCTTAGAAGTGTAACTTTCTTTAAATCTTTTTTTTTTTTTTAGACGGAAAATGAAGAAAATGTTCTTATTTGTCTAAGAATAATTATTGAGCTACATAAACAGTTTAGGCCACCGATCACACAAGAAGTAAGTTATTTAAAATCCTGATAGCATTTATAAAGTATGTCAGCATGTTCCTTCTGCTGTGAAATTATTTGCTCTCTTAAAGTTGACTGAACACATAATTGTTTTTAAGTATAGAAATACAGTCTAAGTTTGGATGTATTGGCAATTCTTTATGAGTTCAACAGTGGTTTAAAAAATTGATTTATTGGCCAGGCGTGGTGACTCATGCCTGTAATCCCAGCACTTTGGGAGGCTGAGGCAGGTGGATCATGAGGTCAAGAGATCGAGACCAGCCTGCCCAACATGGTGAAACCCCATCTCTATTAAAAATACAAAAATTAGCTGGGCGTGGTGGTGTGCGCCTGTAGTCCCAGCTACTTGGGAGGCTGAGGCGGCAGAATCGCTTGAACCCACGAGGCGGAGGTTGCACTGAGCCAGGATCACACCAGTGCACTCCAGCCTGCAAGACAGAGCAAGACTCTGTCTCAAAAACAAAAAAAAGTATATATCAATACTTTGCTAAATTGGTTCAGTAGTTGAGGTGTATTAAATGACCAAACCAACAGGTTATTTGGGTTGTTTGGTATTTACACATATTATATGCAAGTCATTTTATGTTGTACAAGGATTAAGATGTGGGCTCTGAAGTCAGAGCCAGGTTTGAATCTCAACTCTGCAATTGTAGCTATGTGACATTGGTTAAGTTTGTAACCTTTTGGAAATTTTTCTGTGAAATGAGGAAAATCATAGTTCATCCTTAAAATGTTAATTGAAGAATAAGATATAAAATTTAAAGTTCTTAGCACAGTGATTGGCATCTACCTATACGGTAAACAGCAAGTATACATTTACCATAATTATATCTTCTCTGATGGTAACCTAAGTAAATGCCTGTTACAGATGATTTAAGATAGAAATTTATTATTTATTAAAATTATAAATTATTTGAAATAGAAATTAAAAGCACAAAGATGAAATAGGGTTCCTACCATCTCAAAGACAGGATTTCGTGTCTTGATGGTTTTCTTTTCTTTTGATTTTTTTCTTTGGAGATGAGTGTTCCTCTGTCACCCAAGCTGGAGTGCAGTGGCGCAGTCTCCACTCACTCTAACCTCTGTTTGTGGATTCAAGTGATTCTCCTGCCTCAGCCTCCCCAGTTAGCTGGGACTACAGACGCCCATTACCATGCCTGGCTAATTTTTTTTTTTCTTGGTATTTTTAGTAGAGATAGGGTTTCGCCATGTTGCCAGGCTGATCTATATCTCCTGACCTCATGTGATTTGCCCGCCTCACCCTCACAAAGTGCTGAGATTACAGGCATGAACCACTGCACCCAGCCTTTTCTTTCCTTTTTCTCACCGTAATGTTTTTGTTTGTATATTTTTTACCTAACTGTGGTAATACTGTATATAACATTTTATAGCTTGATCATTTCATGTTAAGTGTAAGCATTTTCACAGTCATAACAAATTCTCTATAAAATTAATTAAAAATTTTTTTTTGTAGAGACAGGGTGTCACTTTGTTTCCCAGGCTGGTCTCAAACTCCTGGCCTGAAGCAATCCTTCAGTCTCGGCCTCCCAAAGTGTTGGGATTATAGGCGTCAGCCACTGTACCCAGCCACAATTATTTTTTAATGGGTACATAGTATTCTTATGGATGTCCTTATTTCTGGTATAAAAGGTATTTCAGATTTCTTAACTTAATGGCTATTATGGAATACCTTTGTTTACAGTTCCAGTAATTTCATGGACTAGCTTTGTAGGAGAATTACCGAGGCAAAGGCATTCAAGTTTTAATGCTCCTGTGTTAAACTGATTTCTAGAAAGGTTTCAGTAGTTTATGGTCCCACAGTGTGTGAGAGTCTTTTATTCCATCCTGTTAAGCATTGTGTGTTACTATTTTTTGAAAGGCAGCAACTGGCATTTATTTTAATTTTCAACTCTTTGCTCTTCCTGAATCAGAAACTTGTTTTCTGTTCATTAGTCCTTTATATTTACTTAACTTTTTTTTTTGGTTCACGTCCATTGCCTGTTTGTATCTTGAGCCCATCATTTTCCTTACCGTTCTTATTTAGTAAGACAATTTTAACTTTTCTTATTTATAATAAGTATTTTCTGTTTATGAATATCTTTCTATAATGAAAATGTCTGCTTTTTTTCAGATTCATCATTTTCTGGATTTTGTGAAACAGATTTATAAGGAGCTTCCAAAAGTAGTGGTATGTTTTTACTATGGTTTTAATTTATTAGTTACATTTGTTTATTCCTTATTCCAAAGAGACTTTAGAACAGTTGGGTTGAAGAAATAGTGTGTGGAGAGGGGTACTGTTTTAAAATGGGGAATGTTTAGTGGTAGTTAAAAGCTAGTTGGGTAAGTCAGCCATTCAAAAAATTAGCTTTTTTAGTTTCTCTATTTAACTTATTATTTTTTTTTGGTACATAAAGGCAATATATTTTTATTATAGAAATTTTGGAAAAAACATTTTCATGATTCATTTACTTGTAAGCAACCATTGACATGGAGGTTTTGCTTTTGTTTTTTACTTTGTGAATTTTAAAGGTAGTTGATTTTATAGGATTAAAGACTTTTTGGGAGGTGATGTATATTTTCAGTGTTTTTTAATGTTACTAACATTTTTTTCTATCTTGTTAAGAACTCTTTACAAGCAGTGTCACAATGTACAGATTTGTGGAGTAGAAGAAGAAAATCTCCTCATCTCCTTGCTTATTAGAAGTAAACACTCTTGCCAGCTTGGAATAGCTTCTTCCAGACTCTTCTGGCAATCATAATTCTTTTTTTTTTTTTTTTTTTTTTTTTTTTTTTTTTTTTTTTTTTTTTTTTTTTTTTTTTTTTTTTTTTTTTTTTTTTGGGAGTGGAGGGACGGAGTCTTTGTCTGCCCAGCCTGGAGTATAGTGGCACCATCTCAGCTCACTGCAGCCCCCACCTCGTGAATTCAAGCAGTCCTCCTGCCTCAGCCTCCCAAGTAGCCGGGATTACAAGAGTGTGTCACCACACCCAGCTAATTTTGTATTTTTAGTAGAGACGGGTTTCACCCTGTTGGTCAAGCTGGTCTTGAACTCCCAACCTCAGCTGATCCACCCACTCCAGCCTCCCAGAGTGCTAGGATTATAGGCATGAGCCACTGCACCCAGCCGAAAGATTTCTTTTTAGTCTTTAAAAAGTTTTTAAGTTGATGTAGGATAAAATGGGCTCTTCTTGGCATTTAAAGGATTTTAGTCTGGGGAGAATGTATAAAACTTAAAATCAGTGACTTTGAGTTGTCAAGTCCTCCCACTTGCCCTCCTGTCAGAGCCTGAGTGCTGCTTTCCACAGGCAGCTGCTTTGTTGAACATGAAACCTAAAGTCTGCTGAGAGCGAAGGATGACAGTGAGGTCCTGGCTTTTAAAAATGTCCTGTGTTTTGGCCAGGTGCAGTGGCTCACCTCTGCAATCCCAGCACTTCGGGAGGCCCAGGCAGGTGGATCACCTGATGCTGGGAGTTCGAGACCAGCCTGGCCAACATGGTGAAACCACATCTCTACTAAAAATACAAAAGTTAGCCAGTGTGTTGGTGTGTGCCAGTAATCCCAGCTACTTGGGAGGCTGAAGCTGGAGAATCACTTGAACCCGGCCGGGGGTGGATCTGAAGTTACAGTGAGCCAAGATTGTGCCACTGCACTCCAGCCTGGGCCACAAAGCGAGACCCTGTCTTAAGAAAAAAATTTCCTGTGCTTTGCTTCTGTTCCCTCCTGATTTCTATTTAGAGAATGAAAAGTTAATCAGTGGGGACTGCCAGCCTGTAGTTTCTTCCCAAGACGATGCAGTGCCTTCTTTCCTACCTAACTGTGGTAGGAATGTAATATTGTTTGTATTTCATCATTTATTAGCCAGGGAAAAAAGAGTAGAAAATACTTTTAGGCAAACTTTGGCTTTCTCTTGTTGAAGGTGTGGAACATGGTCCCTGTCATATCATCTTCTGGTCCTGTGTGAAGAGTAAACATCTAGTGTGTGTTGGTTTAGGCTTTAAAGGGCATTGGAAAATGAATGGCCGAGTCCAAATACTGTGGAGGTGGTGCAGTATAAACATGTAGAACATTCTGGTTTTTTCTACCCAAGAGTCAGGTTTTTTTTTTTTTTTTTTTTTTTGCCTTTTTTTTTTTTAAATGATTATTGGGTTTGACTTTAGGAAAAAATGTTTCTATTTTTATGTAGAACCGCTACTTTGAGAACCCTCAAGTGATCCCCGAGAACACAGTGCCTCCCCCAGAAATGGTTGGTATGATAACAACAATTGCTGTGAAAGCCAACCCGGAGCGTGAGGACAGCGAGACTCGAACAGTAAGCGTTTCTGCTGTTTTGCTACTGAGTTGTTTCTACGCGTGGCTCCTATAGTTAAGATACTGGCCTGTTAAACCATTTAAGTTTTTTCTTTTTTTTCCCCTTAAATATGTGGAGGCATTTAAGACAAATAAACAAATGTGTGTGCCTGGCAAAGCATCACTGGTCTTTCTCTGCAGCATGGGAGGGGTGAAGGTGACCTGTTGGGTGTCATTGATGCCAGGATAGAAAGATAAGGTTGTTGTCGAAACCCAGGATCATCCACCCTACTGGGAAGAGCAGCAGACCAGGCGTGGGGTCTCTGTACTGTCCCTTAGCTTTGAGTCTTTTGACATTAATAAAGTCCCTTAAACTAGAGATAAAAGCATATAGCTGAGTGACTGAGAGTGTGGGCTCTGGGACAGAGCGCTCCAGTACAATGTCCCGGCCCCACCTACTGAGGTTTTCTGACTCTAGGCAAGTTAATGAGCCTGCGTTCTGACCTTATTTTTCCTCTCGTTGTCTGAAAAACCTGTCTCACGGACTTTGTGAAGGTAATGCTGGCATGGTCCGCAGGTAACATATCACATTATATTTGTGGTGTCTGCCACATAGGTAACATGTTTTGAGCATTTACTATGACAATTTTTGTGATAGAATTAAGAATATTACCATGTTTGTTTTGCCAAAATGGTTGTGCAGAGTGTTTCAGTTCTAGAATGAACAAGAAACTTTGAATAAAGCTTTCCTTTTGTTGTTCTTAAGTTAGAAATTCGTTTTCTGAGTATCATTCCTTTGTATTTTCTTTTTTCCTTGTCTGTCCATATCCATTGCCCATTTGTATTTGGAGCCTAACATTTTCGTTGTTTCATGAGTCCTTATATATTAGGACTGTTGAACTTTTCTATATCATAAGCATTGCCTGTTTAGAAATACCTGTGAATAAAACTGCTGGGTAAATTGTACTTTGTGCGGTTCTTTTAAATAAATAAAATCATAGCCCTTTGTTTTAAAAATGTCTCAGGTGATTTAAATCTCCAAGTTTTGACATATTTTCCTGTAGTGTTTACAAATGATTATGTAGGAAAATATGAAAACCTTTAGGCCAGGTGCGGTGGCTCACACCTGTAATCCCAGCACTTTGGGAGGCCAAGATGGGTAGATACCTGAGGTCAGGAGTTTGAGACCAGCCTGGCCAACATGGTGAAACCCCATCCCTACTAAAAAAACGCAAAACTTAACTGGGTGTGGTGGCATATGCCTGTAATGCCAGCTAGTCAGGAGGCTGAGGTGGAAGAATCGCTTGAACCTAGGAGATGGAGATTGCAGTGAGCCAAGATCCCACCATTGCACTCCAGCCTGGCAACAGAGTGAGACTCCATCTCAGAAAAGAAAATATGAAAACTTTTATATTAAATGATAGTTCTACATACTTTGTTTTCAACATAGTTTGGATCTTTTGTGACAAATATTTACAAAAAGGTGTCACTGTTTTCCCTTCTCTTTCAGTGGGCCATTTTAAATGCCACAGTGGTAACCTGGGTTCTACCCGTTTCTGTCTTCTAGCATTCCATCATTCCAAGGGGATCACTTTCTCTGAAAGTGTTGGCAGAATTGCCCATTATTGTTGTTTTAATGTATCAGGTATGTGTATTGCCTATTAGTCTCTTGGGTTTTGGGCTGCTTTATTTTAGGAGAAAATTGACATCTGGGGCAAAAAAAGGTGTATAATACACGCTCAGTAATGTGATGATTCTTTGGTATGCCAGATTTTGTTGCCATAGCAGAGTGTAGATGGTAAAAATCTGTTTTGTTTGCCTTTAGCTCTACAAACTGAACATCCACAATGTTGTTGCTGAGTTTGTGCCCTTGATCATGAACACCATTGCCATTCAGGTGTCTGCACAAGCCAGGTAAGGAGTCACTGTAGCCAGCTGCCACAGTACCTGAATTCCAAGTAAAAATACACTTGCTGTTCTCATTCTTAAGACAGGAAAATTATGAGTGATAAAATTATGGTAAAATTGTATGCACTGTTGACTTTCTGAACCTGTGTTTTCAGTGATGACAGTTGTAGCTATTTTGGTTCTCAATTTGGAAAGATGAGATAATATCCTGTATTTTGGTGTGTTGTAAACTAGAAATATCGCCATGCATTACGGTGCTCACTAACAGCTATGGCATATGCAAGCCTTTCTCACCTTCAAGCCTTTCTTCTTGCTGGTTGTTCAGCATGAGTGCTAGAATGTTCTTTATCCCCTTGGTTCCCCATCAGCCTTAATCTCCAGATAGGCTATGTCCATCCTTTGAAGCCTTTCTTAAACCTAAGAATGTTCCTCCTGAGACCATCTTCACATACTCGCCTGACTTGCAGCCTGTCTGGCTGAGTCATTTGAGGGCAGGATCTGAGGAGGAAACCTCTTTGGCCATCGCCACAGCCCTAGTCTGGGTCTTGCACTCTGCAGGTGTACATGAATTCTTTCTGCTGACTAAGTGGACTGGCCTGGCCCTGGCTTTGTGGGATTCACGTTGTAACAGCTATGAAATGGGTTGGAGAGCTGTTTGATATGTTCCCTTAAAACTTTCTGTTATTTGGAATTGCATGAAAAGTATAGACACCTTTGCTATTGCTGCTGTGTCGTTTGGGTCTCTGTGGAAGTGAATCAATCTTTTGAGCTTTGTCATTGTTACAGTCTTTTAATTAATACTAACATCACCCAAAATTGAGAGCTAATATTTGTATTCTCTTCTCATTCAGGCAACATAAGCTTTACAACAAGGAGCTGTATGCTGACTTCATTGCTGCTCAGATTAAAACATTGTCATTTTTAGCTTACATCATCAGGATTTACCAGGTAAGGTCATTGACTTTTATGTCAGGTTTACTGAGTTAATTTACATATAATAAGATTCACCTTTTGTGGGTGTCCAGTTCTAGGAATTGACAAATGCTTACAGTTGTTAATCTTTACTAACACATCAAAATATAGAACATTTCCATTACCCTGCAAAATTCCATTGTATACATTCGGTGTCAGTTTCTTCCCACCATCTCCATCCCCAGATACACACCGATGTATTTGATCCCCATAGTTCTGTGCTTTCCAGAATGTCATATAAATGGAAATGTCCATTGTCTAGTCTCTGCAACCTTTTGAGTCTGGCTTATTTCACTTAGCAGTAGTGTTGAGATATGGCCTTGTTTTACTGATGATTCATTACTTTTTATTGCTATGTAGTTGTCTTTGCTTGGCAGCCTTAACAAAATCCCATAGGCTGGTTTGTTTACACAGCAGCAATTGTCTCACAGTTCTGGAGGCTGGAAGTCTGAGATCAAGGTTCTTGTTTCTGGTGAGGGCTTCCTTCCTGCCTTGCAGACAGCTGCCTTCTGCTGTGTCGTCACAATGGCGAACAGGGAGGGAGGGAGAGTTCTTTCTTCCTCCTCTTACAAGGCCACAGTCCTGCCAGATAACGGCCGCAGCCTTATGACCTCACTGAACTTTCATCTCCTCATGAAGACTCTGTGTCCAGATACAGTCAGATTTGGAGTTAGGACTTTCTTTTTTTTTTTTTTTTTTTTTTTTTT